GGGGGGGGGGGGGAGGGACTAGCTCTGCGCAAGGGCGAGGTGCTCAGCAGGTGTGAGCAGTTGTGATGCTCCTACTCCACCAGAGGCTGGCTATGTGGTTTATAAAGGATTAACGTCAAATAAAAATGCCAGGTACGTAAACGCCATGAGCCCACAGCTTCAGGGGGCCCCAGACATGCTCCAGCTGAGTCCCCCTTCCAATGTGTGAGGACTTGTAGGAATAAGTCCCCCCAAAAGGGGACTTATTGTCTTCTGGCAGCTACTCCAAAAGTGATTTCTATATCTGGTGCTCAATAAACATATCATCTTAAAAAAATTTAAAAAGTCCTACTTCCCTTCAAGGAGGTTGTGAGAGGGAGAGAAAAAAGCCTGTGGGTTACTAGGAAGCCCCCATTGCTGCCCCCAGAGGTGGGCAGGCAGAATCTGGGGAGCAGGAAACAGGACCAGAATGTGCAGGGTTGGACCTCAGCGGCATAAATCCCACCACCCATCCATCATCTATCCATCCACCCATCATTCATCCATTTATCCACCATCCATCCATCATCCATCCACCATCCATCCATCATCCATCATCCACCCATCCATCATCCATCCATCTATCCATTTGTCCATCATCCATCCATCCATCCATCATCCATCATCCATCCATCCATCATCCATCATCCATCCATCATCCATTCATCCATCCATCATCCATCATCCATCCATCCATCATCCATCATCCATCCATCATCCATTCATCATCTGCCCATCCATCCATCATCCATCCATCCATCGTCCATCCATCATCCATCCATCCATCCATCCATCCATCCATCCATCCATCATCTGCCCATCCATCCATCATCTATCCATCCATCCATCCATCCATCATCTACCCATCCATCCATCATCTATTATCCATCCATCCACCCACCCATCATCTGCCCATCCATCCATCCATCATCCATCCATCCATCCATCCATCCATCATCTGCCCATCCATCCATCATCCACCCATCCATCATCCATCCATCTATCCATTCGTCCATCATCCATCCATCCATCCATCATCCATCCATCCATCCATCCATCCATCCATCATCTGCCCATCCATCCATCCATCATCCATCCATCCATC